GTACAATGAGACCCTTAGATGACAACTGACAATAAATATTAAATCCAGGTAAATTAAGTTTTTTCCACAAAAAAACATGTCTTGTCGATCGATAAATCGATCAAAAGCCCTTCAAATTTGGTCTCTTTCCGTTTTCGATTATATTAGTAATAATTTTCGAAACCAACACTACGATTTTGGTGCCAGTCATATTCGACGCTTATTGTCTAATATGTATTATGCAGAACATTTCATATTTGTATAACGTGAGTGTAAGTGTACGCGTAATGTGAATAAGAGTGCCATATGAACCAAATAAATATCACGCTCGATTTTGTATCCAGACCCCAGACATGTATTGGGAAATTGTTTTCTCACTTCTGCCGGTGAGAGCGTGCTGTCAACGGCCTGGGTCGATTCAAGGTCGCCGCTCGGCGTCCAAAGTCGCAACAGTCCCCGGCTTCCTCCCCTCCTTGCTCGTGCTCGCCGAACCGCCGTGGCGGACATTCCAGAACTATACATCTTTTGCATATAGCTCTCTTTGTATTGTCAAGAGCATTTCAAAATTTGCCCACTTACGTTTTCGATTATAGACTACCTGCTCCGCGTGCTCGGCATGGTGAATGTCATGTGAAAGGTCCCGACTGGTCTCCCAGACATGTGTGATAGTGTAGTACATGTTAACAGAGGCGACTGCTCCTAAGGAGCTCTAGAGCGGCGCCCTCCCCAGAACAACCAACCTCGAGAAAAGTTGCAGAAAGTATTTAAACTTTTAATTTGAGTAATGCACAGTGCAGTTTTTGAGGACGAATTTTGTTTTAAGTGATTATGGGAAAGATAAAATGTTTTTGGAATGCTCTGGGACTATCGGGAGTCCGTCCGTAGCTGGTAACATGCGAGGCAATGAATTGACTGATTGTTAGTGATTCCGGGCACGTCAACTAATGAGGTCATTGGTACCGTAAGTGTAGTACATGTTTTGCTCGGGGTGTGGCGGCGATGGTCTTTCCGTCACTGACTGGCGAGATCTGGCACCGACCTATCATCGGCTAAGCGGGGTTTTCACTAACACTCACAAATACATATATATATATATATATATATATATATATATATATATATATATATATATATATATATATATATATACGGCTAGCGGAGTATTAACTAAGTTAATAGCGTGAGAGTGCACAATTGCATCGTCCTGTAATAATGTAAAAGTTGTCTTAGCAAGAACTAAATACCTATGTAAATCGGTTGTACTCTACATACCTTAGTTTTCCTCTTTCTAGAAATATTTTGAAGAGATAAAATAATGTATGTGATAGTTTGGACATGTACATGCTGCGCCTCCTAATTCGCAACCCGCCGGCAGCCACTGTATATTAGTATAAGTAAGTGTGTACGGAGGAGGAGGGGATGAAGATGTGAAAGGAAAGATCGCGCGCGGTCCGGACCCCTTTGTTAAGGTACTGCTCCGGCATTCGCCTGTGTCAAAAGCGTTTGAAAACTGAGGAAAAATAATACTTACGCCTGCGCACGGGCTCAGTGGAGATGGAGTTCGGGTGAGCACTGTTCACATACTGAGCAGCAGGTCGCAAAGACCACGCGTTCTGATGAAGTTTGGCGTCTGTCGTTAGACGATAGTGCAGTACCAACTGCCCGGTTCGGAGATTCGACGCTACTTGGAAGTAAGGCGTCACACGGCCAGGAGCGTGCACCGACAGCAGGGTGCCTAAAGACAGACATCGGCCAAAGATGAAGTACAGCGAACTGCAAGATGACATGAAATAAATAAAAATCGATTCACAAATTTAAATGGGAAGTAAAATCTTTTCTGCTGCGTTAGTTTCTATACAATTAGAAAATACAATATATGTATAATTTATTTGATCTCTTGTTATATTAGACAGTTATTTATTACTTGAAGTACACTTATTTTAGCACATGAATATTAGACATTTATTGTACATGGAAATAATTTGTTTATATATTTTGGGAAAAATTAGGAAATTTAATAAAATTAGTTCAAGTTATTGGAAGCTTTTCTCCCCATCTTCAGGTCATCTGAAATTAACATTTCAAACAAATAAGTATATAAATAAAACAATATTTCATACGAGATACAGGAATATATTGAAAATATAGCTGTCAAACTAAAATCCATTCTACATATCGTTCTACATATAGTCCCACCAATTGTGGGCCACCCTCATATCTTCTAAACTGTTCACGTTACCGAAACGCTGTTTTAGACCAACAATGCGAAATCATGGAGCACGTAATATGCTGTAGAGATATGGTTCTTAATATTTTTTGTTTTCGAAAAAAATTAATAGTCTTTGACTTATTAAATGAACTAAACAATTAATTGTAAATTAATAGCTCAAAATTCGTAATGATTTTTTAGCTGGCTTTCCTATTCTTATTTTCTTAAATAGATAACTGGTAAAAAAACCTGTTTATAATTAATTAGCAATTAGATGGTTGGGAGTTCCGCCATTAGTTTTATTTGATTCATTCATGGTGGATAAGCCAGCAGGGGTTACATCAATCGGATGCAATCCCAGTTATATTGAAAACAAACTGTAAAAAAATGATTTTGCGATAAATAATTCGTAAGTAGTACTAATATAATTAATTGCCATAATTAATAAGTTAATAGCACACATTCTGGTATTACTTTTAATTAATTTTGTTTAAGTGTTTAATCCCGATTGATTTCAAGCTGGTGAAATCGATTTTTTGGTAAAAGGAAACTGTAAAGAATTTAATTTTCGTTAATTTGTTAATATCACTAGGGAACAAAAAACATTTTTTTCATACCTCCAGGATGAAAGAAGGTGATTTCATACGAAACTATCACGCTGATTTCGAAAATCATAATAAGAAGTTTCTTTCACGCAAGGTTCAAAAGATATGAACATATTTAGTATTTAAATAAACAAAATCCTATACTAATTTCCGCATTGTCACTCCGGTTATATTACTATAAAATTTTATGAGCATGCTTCAATAAGGTAAGAAGGAGTTAAAAATGGAATACATATATTCATGCAATAAGATACAATCTTTAAAATGCGTTTGTTGGTATTCTCCACAACATTGGTAGAGCGAATGGCAATGATTTGAGTTTTCCATACAACCACAAGCTAAGGTATGTTGTACAGATAACACAACACTAGTGAGAAGCCCAGGTTTCGTCCTGATCGCAAGCAGGGCAGCCCAAGTATAAAGAATGCTCAAGTTTTGTAATTTCATATATTTTGTTTCCTTTGAAGTTTGGTTGTAAATCTTCCACAAACGTAACATGCGTTAACAGGTTGGTTCGCACACTTTCGCCGTGAAATGACGATTTGCATTTTATCGAACTACTTCAATTCAATAGATTATCTGGCGAATTTCACTTCGTAAAACCCACAGGTCTGTATGTAATTATGTATTTGAGGCACATGCAAACCAGACACGGAACTTCACACGCACTGTCAGTACAGTTCCTCATGACATCGATTGACTCGGAATCTGTCGCCCCAACAGTTGGATACCTGTATACTTGCAATAAAGCAGGGGCGGATCCAGAGACGAATTTCGGGAGGGGAAATTCAAAATGTTTTAGTCAAATATGACATATTACAGATTTTGTAAAATGTTGCAGGCTCTACTCAGCTCATGCTACGATACGTTTTTAGTCGTTGTAATAATTCGAGAATATTTTTGCTAGAAAGTCTCGTGACAAGTTAAATTTTATAGTTGCATCAAAATTTTAGGGGGGGATTTCTCTTATTTCCCTCTCTGTGGATCCGCGCCTGGGTAGGTAAGGGGCTTAAACAAATCCTTTCGGTGACTGATGCGCAGTAAGGAGCACGTGACTCGTTTTCAAACCATCAACTGAGACCACTAACAAGACCTAATTGTAATTAAGGGCGACTATCAGATACGAGAACAAAGACAGCAATCTTCTAATACAGAATACATATATATCCTCTATTCGAAGATTGCCGTCTTTAAATTTAAAAAAATCCACGCGAAAGCCTAATTTAGTTGATATCTCATGAAAGTGGCAAATATTTTATTTTTACATCAATTTTAAGAGAATTGACCCTATATATCTTACGGGTGCGATTTAAATGTATTTTCAAGCAAAATACGGTATGATAGATAAAGATGCGGTATATTTAATAACTGTGACGTGGTACGACGGTTTTATTGTGATATTAGTAATCTACGTATAAAGTGAGTAATTTGCGCTCTCTACCTTCCTGGAGGTAAAGATCTTGTTCCCTAGTGTAATTAGATAAACATTTTGATATTAGTTTTATTTCATTAAGTTTCTTGTGGCAATGTCAACTCGATATCAAGCTGATACTACCCCAGTTTCATAGGAAAAAGATGAACAGTAAAATTTTGTGGTAATCAATTTGTAATTAAATACTTAAACATTCGTACACTTCACTGGTTTAATCTTGTGGTGGCTAGATGAGCGTTTTGCCACCGCCAACAGTAGAATTGTGTTTTAAAAACCTGTACTCTGTATGGAAAGACGGAAATTATGTCAATGTGAATTGCATTAATATACGTGCATGAAGTCGTTCATTTCGATATCATAGAGGCACAGTATTACCAAAATGTAATATTTTAAAATATTTGCTTCAATTTCAGTGGAGGTATTGAAAGAAATTATAAATGAGTTCGAAACGGTCTATATATCATATCCTCTGTCCATCAAAGAACAATAACATCTGTAAATAGCTCTGCTCTTAAATTAGGCAAATATGGCATAATGCTGCGTACTAAAGGTACAAAATATGAACTTGGAAAGTGCTTTGAACGTATATATTCAAGTATCATATTGCAAATGAATAATTTTGAATTCCGAACGTTTGGTTAATGCAGATGCCCTAAACACTGTTACTCCATTATTTGTTGCACTTTTGTATAATAATAATAAGTCAGAAGATTTTCTCCGGTCTACTTCATTTTTAAGAGAAAGGAATGAAATCTCAGTAGTAAACACTACTTACCAAGTGATTTACGGTGTTGACGATAAACAAAAACCAATGTGAAGCCTGCAGAACTTGACAGAGCAGAGGTGACTGCAGAAGGATTGGGTACTTGTACAAGTCCAAATCCAGGCCTCAGTTTGAAAGCAGGCACATTCAGAATAGGACCCGGAACCTGGGCAACTCCGGGAGTTCGGGCTGACAAGTTCAGAAGCCTCAGTATATCTATAGTGCCACCTGCAACATCAGAAATTATATATTATGCAACTAATGTGAAAATTACATACTATTTGACCTTCTAGATTTAACATAGATAGTATTTAAATATCATGGACAAACCACAAACAGAGAATGGATAATTCCAGAACGCCACAAGAAGTCACACAAGCAGGAAAATGCACAAATTAGTCAATTACAAAAGTTGTGAGTAACTCTAACCAAAGAGTTGAAAGAAAACAAAAACCTTCGCAGTGTAACAAATCCTTATAAGACACAAGATAGGCAAATTTGCCATATATTTGGTTAACTTGCTTACTAAGCCCTTAACACATGAATTATGATGTGTAATATTTTAACCATTAACATGTGTAACAGTCATTAATATAAAATTATTTTTGTAAGTATTCAATTTAACTTCACGAAAATGTTAACATGAATAAATATGAATTATTTTGTAAATAATGTTTTACAACTTACAACAGTGGTCAGGTTAAACATAAAAAAATATTTTATATTACCAGCTAACGGTGATGCCAGGGCTGGGCCCTGTTTTAAATTACAGAAGCACAAAAAATAAGTTGTCAGACCCAGAGACTTGACACATGTTTCTCTATGTACTCGACGCGTTGAATCCGAATTTAAAGCCGCAAGAACCCTCCAGTTTGTTATTCGCCAAATGAAAATAAAAATAAAATAAAAATAAAAACAACAACATATCTTAAAAAAATTAACATTTTTTCTTGCAAGCATGTCTAATTATTTTTTTCTGTTTTTAGAATTCGGAAATGAAAGGCAAGACTAGGAGAAATCGTAGAAGTAAAGAAATACCACAAGTAAGTCTTTAATCTTTGAATGTATCATAGTCGTCAAATTTGTTACTAGATAGTATAATGCATTTTCCTCGTGTTTTGATTTTCTTATATAGATTTGAAGAACCAAAAATCTCGAAACCATGCTCGTATATCCCTTGTATCCCTGTGTTGTTCTATTTTCTTGCAATCTAAGAACAATGGAACAAATGGCATAATACTGTACAACAAAGATTTTCATTTGCAATAATCACAAACATAACGCCCTTTGTCATAATCGGCAGTCTGCATGTGAGCACATCACGCACTTTACGCATATTTCATTGTTCCCCCAAGTGTTTCCTGAAAACTTTCCGGAGCAGAACAGGCGCTCTACTTTTTTATTGCAATGCCCAGTCTTTCCTGAAATACCAATGTATTCCGTATTTGTGACATCTCCAACTGGGTACTCGGAACCTTGGAACCGGCAGAGTGCAAGTGGAAATTGGACAATGAACACATAGTTGTTAATCCCAATGACTAAGCTCCAAACTAAAATATATTCTACATTCATAAATATAGTAATTTGTATGTTACACAATAGTTAGTGTTTTATTACAAAGGTTTTATACACGTCACAAATCGTAAAGTGTATACCTTGTAAACCACGGCCTTCTTTAACAACAAAGTTGGATTGACAAATTGCGTGACGATGGATTTTTTTTAGTGCTTTCCGCGCCAGAGAAGCATCTGGGAAGACAGATATACGGAATTCCATATTTGTGCCCCTATTCCACGTTTATACATCTTTCTCCACTTTTCATATTGTAATGCTGCGGCAAAACCGCGATTTTTCGACCCAAAACCTCATTTTGTAATTTCCTGATATGAATAAGTTACAGTTTTATATTTAGTTAATTACTTTACCTAATATATTGTGTAGTCAGAATGCAGGTTTTGTGGTTACATATTGTCGAAAAATTGGTTTACAGCAAAACGTCTGTCGTACCCAGTGGTCAATACTCGTACCTAAATCGTTCAAACTATTTTCTCCACAGACATTCGCCGATCGAGCTGGCCGAATTCGAGGGCCCGCGAATTTGAGAGGGATATTTTGATGTGGTAGGGGTACTTCACAATAGCCACCATATATTTTTAAAATTTCCTAAAAAATTGCTTTAATTTTTTGTCGGATAGAACAAAGGACGCTAAAAAATGGTCCAGATCACATTTCCGGTGAAAATTGTATTTTTTGAAAATGCAAACCACATTATCATATTTTACTTGTTGGGATCTGTTCTTCCAAATTAGACTTGAATAGGTTCTCGCAATGCCTTCAATAATGAAGCTAGAGCTTTCTTTTTCAGTGCAATATATTTCTCCTCTTGATATTTCAATTACACTATGTACGGTTTTTTCGAAATATGGTTCGTTTTCTTAATTTTGGAGGAATTGTTTTTTAAATGTGAATGTGAACAAATCAGAGTTTCATTGCCGGCAATAAAATGTTTTTTCTTAGCATTCTTTTCTTGAGTCGATCAAAGTATTCTTTCTAAAAAAAGGTGTAAGCCCGATCGGCGAATGTCTACTGTGAAGAAAAACTGTGCTTTGAAAATTGCAAATTCGAACTTATCGCAATTCTTTTTGCGATCACTAGATAGGTGAAGAGTTATTTGGATACAATTTGCAATCATTTAATACGAATATTACGTATTCACACTTAAAACGAAAAAGAATGTGCAGTTGTCGCCTATTTGAAAATAAGCATATCAGTAGTTTTCTTGGAATTGTGTACGTGATGGAATTCATATGATGTTGCAATTCGATAATGACCTCGCCGCGACCCGGCAGTTCAGTGAAATTCATAGTATTGTTTCTCATTGTTAGACGGCAATTTTTATCGCTGTTTGGAACGCAATTTTGGATTGTTGAATTTGTATTGTATGAGTTTTAAAATAATTAATTTTCACATCATTCACTACGATTTGAAATGAATTTCACAAGATATAGTTAAGGTGTTATAGGGTGGGCACAATTTTCATCATTATTCTAATATTAATAAATACCCATTACTAAAGCACGGAAGTACGTGTTGTTTTATCTCCATTAGTTAATGTTTATAACACATACTGTAATTATACCTTTGCAGTGAGACAACTCGAATACGTATCGTGCGGCCGGAGGGGGTAAATAATTTGGGGGGGGGGTTCTAGACCCCCTTCCCAATCTTATTTTACCCTAAAAGATTCAACAGCGATGTTTTGCAACGTTATAAAATTTTCACTAGACTGCGACTACGAGAAAGTAAGAAGGATACACTAGTATGTTGTTTCATGTTTTTCAGAATCAAGATGATCCTGATATTGAAGTTCTGTTTTCGAAGATTGTGAATAATGGAGTAGTCAGAACATACCGTAGTCAGGTAAATATACCATACTTCGGAGTGCATTGCACTGTTATGTACATTTAAAAAAATCATTTTAAATACATTATTTATATATTGTATTTGTCACAGGCTTAGTAGATATGCAAAACAAAAAGTGAAATTTACAGCTAAATATCTGGTAATCTCGATATTCTCTTAGGAAGAGTTGTAAGAGGTGTTTGATTTAAAAATGTTCTTACGAGAGCCACATATACGAGTCATATAAGATCTTTTTTACCTAGATTAATTTTATTCACATTTAAATTCAGTGATTAAAAAAATAGTGACCCTCAAATAGAACGTTTTGTTGATTTCCTCTGTGTAATGTGATATTTTTTTATCAATTTTGACAACTGTTTCATGGTCGTAACTGGGAGCTGCTCAACTATGCCCCTAATGTCATGCCTCCAGACATAACAAACTTTCTGGATGCAAAAAAACTTGATTGAGCTAATTTAGCTTGTTGGGGGAAACAAATAAGGCGCTGAGGATAATAACTGCAGATCCCTACCGACCGCACATTTTCAGTTAGAAGTATGAAGGTAAACTCCTGCCATATACCTATTATATGCTAAATATCTAATAACGTGGTATACGGGTATACCCTCAAACTATCACCTTCAAAAGTTTTTATGCAAGAAAATGAACGTGAACGAAAAGATAAAAGCATTTTTTTTCAACACGAACTTCGGTTGTGATCTGCTGTTATTATTCTGAGCGCCTTTTCTTCAGCTCTCATTTCTCTAGAAATGAGAGGTTTGGGAGAATAGGGGCTATTTCGACACCAGTATTATCAAGTTAACTGTCCTCGTTTGTCCATGCAAACCATATCTATTAAACGAGATCGAAAATGTCTTTTTTTATAACGCCGACACACATCTCTGAAATCTTTAATCAATACCTAATTAAATTGTTTGGGTAAGGATAAGGGATATGAATGTCGGAATTCAAGAAAACTTGGGCAAAAACTTCCAAAAGATGCAATTCTCCCTATAAAAGAGACAAAAACAATATACGTTAAACGTAAATGTACGTTAAACCGTTTTCAATGTTAGTACTCTCAATAGTTGTCTATTGACAACGAACCTCTATTTTCATGTGTAGACTCAATATGTCATTTGGGTATGCTTGACCCATTCATCGTCTTAGGAGCTCAAAACTTCGCTTATTTCGCATTCCTTTGCACAATTAATAAAACTTCAAGCGATGAGTCCTTGATGAGCGCGGGGCTCAGATTCCGGATGCAACACGAACACTTGCGTATTATAGGACACGTCGATAACCTTGTCTTCAGACATTGATGATCTCCCGTAATACCGATCTACCGACATAGATGTTCTTCGAGGAAGGTAAGGTAAGAAGGGCTTTTTTTATTCAAAGAATTAAACGTTAGGTCACGTTCAGATCTGCCGACTCATTTAAACAAATGGAGCGGGCAGCCGTGATATATCAGTGGCCTTGGATTCCCGGATCCGTCCGTTCTCCAATATCCTAGAGCACTGGCGGCCCGCGAAAGGTTATTAGACAAACGTGAAAGTCCCTTGCATCCGTATCGGTCAAGAATATTGCGCTTAGCGCATGCGCCCTGTAGGAGTCATCACCTCCTAATGTAAAAATAGGTTAAGTTTAAGTTTAAGGATTTTTTCCCTAGCAAATTCAGAGATTCAAAACCATCCCAATGTCTTTAACTGCGTTACGCATGGTAGAGCCTGATATCGTACATAGTTCCAACCCCCACCCCCATTTCAGAGCAACCGGACAAACTGCCGAGGTCATCAATACAGGGTCACGTGTGGAAAATATGGCCTGCAACCATATTAAAGGTTTTATTTGTGGCCCATGAGGTCTTGCAAGTTGGACATCCCTGTCCTAGAGAGTGAAGCTGAAGCACAGGATATGTCGCTCGAATGCTTTTTACAATGTCGCTCATTTTCATTTTAATTGTTGAAAATTCGGGGTACTGTGTTCTAAAATTTTCCTGAAAGTGGTCTCTTAAATGAGGTAAATTAAGAATATTACTATCAAGGCCTAGCCGGTGGTCGGGGAAAGGAAATTCCAAGAAAAATAAGTAGTTGAGAGGAGTGGCCATTTAATAGGGGTTATCTTTCAGAGAGGTTTAAGTACACTTTTTTCTCAATGTCACTACAAATAGTAAATGTATGGGATAGAAATTGCGGAGTTCAATAAAACGTGAATTTACCCCCCTCCGTCAAATACAGTCTTTACTGCGTTTTGGCTAATTAATTCTTGAATCCATTGTGTAAAGCATTCTACGTTATCAGAAAATTTCTAGGGATTTGGGAAGAATAAGGATTTAGAGGTGATAAATGAGGATCTGGGATGCTACAATTACAATTGAAACATGCATACCTTACGCTGGATTCGAACCCACAACCTTGGGGTCCGCCAATGTGGACAAACGTATCCTCAGCAGCTGTACCCTTTTATGATTATGGTCCTCTACACACATATGGTATTAATGGTATGATCATGATGAAAATTACGATAATTAGAGATGTCTACGAATGAAATGAAAATCTTCGTACAATGAACAGACGTAAGCAATGTATGGCAGAGAGCAATCACAGTAATTACTGTGATTTTAACATGCAACCAAACTGATCTACGCACACATGGTCACACACTAAAATTGGCCTTTAAAGAGGTCCTCAAAAGAATCCCTCATTCATGTAAATAACTCATTGTGTACAGTATGATAAGTCTTTGCACTGAGTAAATACCAACCAAAATTTAAATCTGAGGTCTAGTAAGGCTAGTAGACCATCGAGACGGATCCAGGATCCATCTTCAAAGTAGGTAGCCGTTCATTTTGGGAGAAATGCAGATTCACAGTGTGTCGAATGAGGATGAGAGGTCTGTTGAGGATACTTGTTCATTATTTTTTTAGGGCACGTGTATGTCAAAGCAATTCTGCAAATCTTTCCTATCACGAATTGTGTCTTTAACATGTTTATTTGAATTTAAATTCAGATAACTAACCATCATAAACGCAATGATGATATTCAGCATATGTACCATTTAATCCTCATGCTTTAGCCTGTTGATTCATTGGCAACATCGTAAGTTATTAATAACAAATCTGTGTGTGTGTATAGTATCTGTTGATGTCTCAACATCTTTTACTTTTCTAGGTTGCAGCGCAGGGCGAAAATCCTTCTCAAGTTCCAATTTTTAATTCAGGACCAAGACAAAACAACACGGGCCAAACAAATGGTAAAATAATACGATCCATTAAAATTATGTAACGTTAGTGTTAATTAGTGACTATTACTGGTATGCAAAAATATCGTAATTATACATTTAAATTAATTCTCTTCTTTTATTATAAATTGTGGGTCCCAAGTTTGGCATGGGAAAATTTCGATCGATTTCACTGCTGATGGCTGTCCTTTGAATTTCTTTTAGAATTTTCACCTTTTCAAATTGAAACTAATGGTACTCCAACAGCACATGCTTTCTCATATTATTGGTAATGGTTATATAATAAAACTCATATCCAAACGAAGAGAGAATGGTTCGAAAAATTACATAGTCGGGCCTCCATATATCGAACCTCATATTTATCGAAAATCGTTATGTGTAAATATATTTTTTTTGTCCCTTGAATATTCCGTTTAAAAGAGATCATCGAAAATGATTTTTATACATCGAACTCATTTTAAGATTTGACTATTTCATCTATGAATTAACGCAATCATGCACTGGCTTGGGTTCACTCACTTAAATCTGGGATACAGGTAATAGTTCTAATGAGTGGTAAGCCATTAGATTTCTCTTATTTCTCGCGATGTTAAAACAGTTTCAATTCATATTTCTATTCACACTAAATGTTGGCATCTGAAGTAATTTTGTAGTTGAAGTTCGCAGGTTTCACTTCCAGGGAGACTATCCTTTACGTTCTCTTGTGCAAAGTTACCACCTGTAACGCAACCTAATCATAGTTAACGGTATTCCTTATGCATCCCTCGTCATTGCCAGTTTACATTAGTTTCTTGCTTCATATTTGCTTTCAATTATAATTGGATCCTCATCAAGTGCCACATACACGGATGCATGCATAAGAACTTTATTTTTGGATATATATTAATTTCACATTAAATAAATTTAAAAAAACATGATTTGACAAGTGTAGCAAAGACTAAACAGCATAGATTTTCGAAGCATTACATAACTTTTTCTAGAGAAACGAAAAAGTAAAATCGTAATATACAAAGTATTCTCGTGACATTTCAGTTTTACATAACGACATTGTTTGAAACAAATATAGAACAATATTATTGTCGATGTGGATGACACAGATTACACGAGATGAACACTGTCAGATACACAGGAACTCAGTTCTTTGGTAGACCACATTTTTCATTATTAATTGAAAATGTTTAATTCCTGGATCTCACAGATACATAGGGTGTATTTCTGGGTCAAACATCTCAAGAGACACTGCGTTATCACTTAATTTTCTAGTCAATGCAAATAAATAATGATTATACTTTGAGGCGTCGAGTTAAATTCTGAAGAAAGGGGCCGGAAGTTCTGAGAAAAAAGGACTTTGCTGAGAGGCTTAATTTACAGTGCGTATGTACACTTAAGGGATATAATATTTTTGTATCGAAGGAGTAGGAGGTAAAAAAATTGTATTTATTTAATTTACTACCCGTAAGGTCATTTAAGCAAAAACAAATATGCATAAAGAAATATCGAAAATGGCAAGTGCAGGTTACAAACTTCAAACAACAGGAAGAAGGAATCACTTTATTAGCGCCTATAGCAAGATTGTACTGCCAGATTGTGAACAACGCCAGGACAAGAGTGGCCAACGCGTTAGACTGGATTCCGAACATAAGATTTTGTTTACAGACAATTGATCAATAGTGGAAGCCCAGCACAGATTATGCTTTTTGTAGGTTATATGCATTATTTTTCGTAGGATCTAAAAAAACTTCACGAAAATCTACTGAAATGTACATTACGACAAATATTTCTGTCTATATTATTACAGTGAATTATACTAGGCGTTTTTATCATTATTCGCGTCGTCCTTATTTCTCTAAGACCGAAATGAAGTTCTGCAGTATCCAAAAGAACTAAGCCTCACAATTTTCGTACTGATGAATAGAGAATTACCCCCCGTGGAAAGGAAACAATTTCAAGATGAAAATGTATATTTTATTAAACTTGTTACACGCTGTCTCAGAATAAATATTACAAACTTCTAGGGGATGTAGAGGAGTCGAAATTAATCAATATTTTCCACGAACATGTAATGAGATTGTTCATATTGCGGAGTTACACATATGATGTGCCTCTAATTGACAGGGAAATCTTTATGCACGTGTTCGGTAGGTTACGTTCTGACGCAGTCAAGGAGATTTCTTGTACCTGCCGAACATTTGTGAACAAAGGATTGCATAAAAATCAAGTGCAAATGCCTGCAACATGTTTAACTACGTCATACGTACCTTTTCACTTTATGTTCATTAGCAACATGTGATGATTTTCTACTCCTCTACTAGCCCTGGAAGTTCGTAAATTATATTCTGAGACATCTATGTATTAATACGAAACCTATCAAGGTCAGACAGGCGCTCATGCAAACCCGCAACACCAAGGACCTGGATGCAACCCGCCACACAGGTGCACGATGTACGTACCTCACGCCGTAACCTACAACATTGGTTCATTTTGTATCCTCTTTTGCAGTTTTGAAGGGGGTAACCCTTCTGGTCACTCCCACTTCGTTGTATGAACGAACAGATGCGCTAAGAATTTAAGAATTCTATGTAAGTTGAAGGTGACTATACTAGTAGTTCGAAAATGAATGAGTGAATTCTTTCAAAATAATGAAATTTTATTAGTATTTTCAATTCCGTTTCGTTCTCCGTTCGTTGGTAGACTTCTCTAATAAGTTGATTCCCCAGAGCCAGAGAAGCTTCCTAGACAATGGCTCACGGACTGCGCGATCTTCTCAAAATTAGAACAGGGACGCGGCCGAAAGCCTCATACAGACGTTTTGTACCTGGACGCTAGTAGTTGGTTCCAGTACGAAACTATTTTCACTTGTAAAAAAATGATTTGCAAAGGACGAAATGGTCGCATACGTCCATGTAGTTAATAGCGTATTTAACCGAATAGAGTGTGAGACGAGGTTTTTTACTTTCCCGTACACATACGTATATATAGAGTAATATACGTAGTATAGCAGGGGCGGATCCAGGGACGAAGTTTGGGAGGAGAAATTTTTTACTATTCTTTTGGTCGAATGTGTCATGTTACAGATTATGTAGAACGATGCAGGATAAACTCAGCTCATGTTGCGATAAAATTTAATTCGTTTTAATATTTATACAAATATATATTTTTGCTTGAAAGTTTCGTAACATTTTAAAATTAATCGTTACTGAAAAAGTTTGGGAGGAGAAATTTCCCTCCCCGTTGTTCCACACCTGAGTATAGGGAAAGTTATGTAATGCTGCGAAAAGTCGATTTCAAGATTTCAACGGTAATACACGTTTTGGGGTCCACCGATACCGAAAAAATGTGTTTTTTTTTACGGCCGGCCGTCTGTTCGTCCGTCTGTGAACACCACTGGCGCCTAAACCATACGTAGGATTTTTCCAAAATAGATATTCCCAGGTCAATCTGGCTCGACTCGAGACGCTGCGATTTTGAAAAACTTTCTTCAAAATTTTGGGTACTTTTCATAAAGCTCCCAAGACATTTTCATAATTTTCTCAAAAAGGCTCAACATTTTTTCTTTAAATTTCTTGTGAAAATATAGTAAAATACACTTATAAAGGTGGCATACGTCCGATTTTCAGGGTTAGCTCTGTATTTTCAAAAAATTTGGAATTTTTCGGGCGTCTTCCTACAGGTACATAATTGACGGTAGAGATTTTTCCTTCAAATAATTTTTTTCTTCATAGTGAGTTCTTTCAAGTCATGTACATTGTTTTGAAAATTTTATTAGTTTCCGCGCAATATTGTGAGCAATATGTGCAATTAAAGAAATACGAAAAGATTTTCCCCAAAACGGCTCCAATTTTTTCTTTAAACGTTTGGTAAGGGTAGTACAAAATGCACTCTACAAGATGACATGAATGCCATTTGCTCTATTCTTTTGTTTTCAAAAGTTGCAAAAGTGTATTTTTTTGACTTGTCTCTAACGTCGTTAATATTTATATTAGCAGCAATTTGTTCACATAATTTTATTTATGAGTACATGTGCTTTAAATAATATCATTCAAAGGAAGTTTTTCGGAAACTCAAAACCTTTTTATGAAAAAGAGCTTCAAATTCCGAATTTACTGTAGCTCTTAAGGGCCATTTTCTTAAAAATGGCTCCAAATTTTTCAAAAAAAATCCCTTTAGGATGAGTTTTTACTGTTCTTTAATATTCTGAAAATAATATTTCCAAATATTTTAGAAAAGCAACAAATTAAGAATTTAAAAAAAATGTTTTGGGCGGCGACAAATGACAGCAGGCCAGAGAGCGGCAAGTTTGTAAAGGTAGTCGAGAACAAAGGAAGTAGAAAACTAATACGGGAATGTCTGTGCCATATTGTAGCACCACGAGTTTTTAAATATCTCAGTCGACAATACGAGGTTATCTTATATTCGCAGATTAAGTCTAGTCGGTTTGGGTTCTTTCATTGCCTTCCCATGACACGAAACTCGTAAATGTTGACGTAACAATAAGCTGCGCAGACGGTAAAAATATCGCGCGTATCTACAATACGTAATTATATTCACGCTCGTATTCTGGGCACACACTGCGAATTTGCCGGCCGATTCAGACTGATATTTTTGGCCGGGTCGGTAAAGAGAGAATCTCAAATGAATGGCATTGTAACAAGTGAAACGTATGTAACGTGGAAATGAATGCCGTGATTTCAGTTACATAATGCGGGTTCAACGAGGTCGCGCGGAATCTCGGCTCGACGCCCAGCGAGTGCGAATCTGCGTTTTGCGAGAAATGAAAGAAAAATCACACCGATAGACGTACGCATCCTACATCCAACAACAGAAAATGATCAAAAACTTCCCAAACTTAGTAACTTGCTGCTCACCCACTTTCCTTGCGAAAGAGAGGAACAGAATGCACGAGTTCACATTCCACAACTCGAAATATTCTTAAGTCACACATACATACATACATACCAATATGAAATGTGTATATTATATATATATATATATATATATATATATATATATATATATCATTAACTTAAATAATGACAATTAAACACAGAGCATCTGATGAAGTATGATAGCATGCTGATCGGTATCTTTGATCAGCAGAGAGGGTTACTCGCATTTATTTTCGACTTCGCTCGGACCTCTCCGAAATACTTACTACTTAATTCGGATTACTGCGTTTCTACCTGGCAGGTTCCAGAACCATTTTTGCAAGGGTGATAAGAGTTCTATTGTACAAGTTGTTTCAAAATTTTTTTACTCGTACTTTTGAATTGAATTAAATTGAATTGATGCCTTATTTTACGTGGCGAGACTCACGCCATGAGGCCTGCTCTTCTGTCTGATCTCGCAATTTCGCTACGCTGTAGAGTATTTTCCATAAGCTCGCTGTACAAATTTTAGGCTAAATGTACAAGTTACCGAATACTGAAAACAATGTAGATAATTTGCAGTCTACACTGTGTGACAAAACACAAAGTCAATTCAATGCTGCACAGCAATTTTTTCTTCGCGCTTCACAGAAGAACGAACACTCAAACTTCGGTTTTTCAAAACGCATAAAAAAGTTGCCAATTACATACGTTTAATAAATTTATTTGGGCTTTTAATTCGGAATGGATTTGTAATTGCAACTCACTTCAAAATATTAGAGAATGTGCTAATAGTATTAAATTAACACAATTCTTAATCATGCAACACACAATCCGTTCGCGCGCTAGCGAAGAACTGTTTTATTGGAAGGGATGAGAGCTCTTTCCAGTGGAGAGATATCTCACACTTCCTTCGTTCAGTGTAACACGTACTACTTCTACAAACTATTGTTAGCTGAGTGTTATATCTTAGAGACATATCACGGCACTTACTGAGACTGCCACTGCACAGACGCAGTGGCGATCGCACACTCAGCCGAATGCTCCTTGAGTCCATAAAACCACTGTTTTCCTCTCTTACCCCTCCATCCCAGCGGCAGCCAACGATGCGCTCTACTCGCTCGCAATTCCCGAGTGTGCGCCGGCTGGCTTTCAAGAAGGGCACTGGCGACAGACTGTCAATCGCTGCTTCCGAACGGCGCGTGTTTTGAAATTCAATGTTTCGGAAACATTCTGAGATGACTTGTATTTCTCTCTTGTTTTGAGATACTTAAAAGATAATGCACCAAATTAATTTGAGTGTGCACATGCGAACGTGCGAATAGGCACGAGCCGCCACTGACTGTAACCCAATACAACAAACGATTGTTTATAATGTTTCTTAGAGAGGTAGCTAACTATGGGAACACAGCCAAGGAATACATTTTTGATACAGACCGTGCTACTTAAATGTTTCGAAGTTGTGGCAATGTCATATCCCTGGCAACGTTACCCGTCGTTAATATTGTTGTCATAACTTCAATTTCTCACTGTTATATGACACAGGAAAACATTCATGAAATATTTTATTCAATACCGATTATAATTATTATTGTCGTCGTCGTCGTTATCATCATCATCATCATCATCATCATCATCATCATCATTATTATTATTATTATTATTATTATTATTATTATTATTATTATTATACAGTAAATCTGTTTTTACTTCTGGTATTTTTGTTTGTACTATATTACAACCTATGATGCTAAATTTTTTGTTCTATCTTTGGGTTTGTTTTTAATTACCATTTATTATTATGAGTATTAAAAAATCAAAATTTCGTTAATAGTTTAGAAAATAAATTATAGGTGCTTTTGTTTACAAACAGCTCAATATGTGCGTACGGACGTAATCTCGAAAACTAGGAAGTGCGGTACATCTAACAATGCAGGATTGGAAAGACGCCAAAATATTTGGAGGGAAAAATACCATTAACTCAATAATGAATCTCTGCACTAATGTAATGAATTAGTTTAATTTTATATCAATTTCTTTAGGATTTTTAATCATTGTTTTAAATTCTGGACACTTCTATTACTAAAATAGTGTGCTCCCTATGAAGGAAACAGTATTCTTTTGACAGTAGATATCAATTGCAATATTTGGAATTCTATAAATACGATCAATTAGTCTGTTGTTAGTGTTTGTTCATGAGAAGTGCTCATTTAACTAAGGTTTAAAATTCAGCAGTTTTCTATTCCAGGTTGGAAATAAAAATTCAAAGCTTGGGAATTCATCTAACACAAAGGTTATGATATAACATACTTCTCTATGCATTTCCAACAAAATACAACCCTTGATACATGGAAGCCATATTTGTTGACATATTGAAGCCACATTTCACCTGTTTGCATTTACAGAGAGAGAAGATGAAGATGACCTTTCTGGAAGATATAAACAATTTTTACATTATCGATCTCGACAGTCAGCGAGAAGGAATTTCACTATTGAGAATCGTGCATCGTACCGAGGTATGCATTCAATGTATGAGGATATGATTTTTTCTCAATAGATCTAGACACCACAATATTTTTATGTCAGACACAAAATATCACGGAGCCAAGCCTTTGGAATTGTCAATATCACCCTATTTTTAATATCACCCTATTTTATAGCTTAAAGTGCATTCTGAACTTTTATATTGCAATTTCTCTCCTTAATTTTCAAAGAATTGTAAGTAAATACTATAATGAAATCAAATATGCTGAATGTATAGTCAATATTTTATATTCTATTGAAAAAGGTTAATTTGAACAATTTAGTAGTCCATAGATTGGCATACAAAAATCTACTCATAATATGTAATACTGAGTTTCCTTATGAAAGTACATTTAAATACCACAAGTTAAGACTAACCCCAAAAAAACAACCTATTTCAACAACACTAGTTACTAAATTTTGTATTTTCATTTGATAGAAAGGGGCTCTACTGAATTTCATCAGCAGTTTGCAGCTCATGGTCACATTTCGAGAAGGAATGTTTCATTTGGAGTACCACAGCATCCAAGAATTTATGGCCGGAATGACTTCAACATACAGTTACCCGAAGAGCAGAGCCCAGAAACCTACATGTGCAGAAGTAAGCATGCAACTTGTATTTTTTTTTTTCTTTAACTTCAATCACAAGTTTCACATCCGATTTTAATGCAACAAAGAATTAATAGAAGTTAAGAAAATTTTTGGCAGAAGTGTTTTTGTGAAGAAGAGAAATATTCTCTCAAAAGGACTCTAGTATAACACCTATAACTTGTGGGGGAAAAAGACATTTGCTTACTGTAAAGTAAGTTACATTGTTCTATGATTTTATGATCTATCATAAAACAATTCAATAGTTGGAGACAAATCAAATCTACCGTTGTAAAGACCAGGTAATGCTGAGCAGGACAACACTGATTATTTCATGTTTCAGGACAACAGATGCATTGTTGCTGCCCACCCAGAGACACCTATCATCAGGAATCAACAGCAAATCTCATTCCACCTTCACAATCATGCTTTCATTATCATCCTTCACAACATTATCCTCATTGCAATCATCAACATCCATCATCATTTTATCAATTGACACCACCATCTCATCAGTCTTCAATCTCATCTTGTCACCATGCAACATCATATCATCATCATGCCCCCTCATATCACTATCCTGGAACCTCACCATTTCATCATCCTCCACAGTCATATCATCCTGCATCTTCATTTTTGCATGACCCACGATGCATATCTTCACTAGATCCCAAAAACTCAAGAGGTTTTGAACGAGAACATTCAGAGTATTTTGAATGTGACAGAAGTTCTTCAGGTAAGACACATTAGCCAATGTGTTTTATCTCTTAGTTGCAAAACTGTTAGCCAAATTAGGTAAGTAATATTTAAGAAATGAACTGCTAAGAACCACACATTTCTACACAATATGAAAGACAAAGTGAATCAACCAAAGAATTCTAACACAAATACAAAGTGAGTAATAAAGTTGTGATCTACGAACATAGCCCAGACTTTCTCATTATAGTTTTAACAACTATGTGAAATCAGTAGTGGCTCATGGCTTTATAAACTGGGAATGTGAAAGGTCTGCACCTAGCAAAAATCTCATACGCAACAATTCCACTACACTTTCCCCATCTCATTTTTTGCTATATTAAATGTGATTGTAAAAAAGGGTTGTCCCTCCTTGTACCTGAAACATGTCCTATCAGTAGCCCAGAACATACCCACTACTACAACATGGAGTTGTCATATTACACGCAAAAAGGAAAGAGGAAATAATTACACTCCATAACTTTTGAGGTTTTTGAGTAAGTAGAGTAGAGGCCATTGAAGCATTTGTGTACCTAAATGCAATAAATCATAAAAAACACCAATGATGCAAATATTAACATGCAAGAATTAAAAAAAATCATTTTAAGTGTTATTATTTGACTCAAAATTACATGAAAACTATAACTTGGACTTCAGCATTTTTTTAAAAATTCTAAGGCTTTAATGAAAATCGCGCAGATAACCCATGAGCAAAACCACAGAGTAGATTTTTATTTTGTCTTTTTTTTTCGCCAATTGTAGTTTCTGATGCCTATTTTTTGCATAGTGCCTTATTTGGGCCTTTTTTTGCCTTGTTTGTCATTATTTTACGTTTTCCCTCTCCTGGCATTCTCTATCAAGCTAGAACTGTTCCTGCAAGCCTAGACAGCATTGAGGCACAGTCGCGTGTTGTTTTACTGTAGAGGCGGAAGCTCCAGTGTCAGGTTGTGTTAAAAATTTAAAAGGGTAAGGAATATGATACCAGTGAAGTTTTTTGATATTTTCCATTATTTATATATATATACACACACACACATATATTATCTACAATTTTCATTTTACAATTTATTTTAATGAAGCTTGGGTTACACTATTCACATCATTTTTATATTTGTGCTTAACAATTAACTTTGCCCATCAACTTATTTATTTCTTGCAAATAAAATATTTTTGAATGGTTTTGAAGTCACATTTTGTCTGCATTTTGCTAGGCTAAGTCTGCAACGATGTTGCAAATTGAGGGGACCTTGGAGAACTACCTAGAGCAGCCCAAACAAGCAGCCCTAGATTGAGCCAGGTCTTTCCACTGTGGCTAAAATACAAGCCAATTTGAAAATTTGTGTTTATGAAGTTAAATATTTGATATGTATGCCGTAAGTTTTATAACAAAAAATCATGAGTATTATATTGATGACTTGCATTTTTTGGAAAGTTTATTTTACAAAAATATCAACAATTATGCAAATTTGTGTGATAGTCTTCTTCAATCCACAGGTTAGATAAAAAATATTATAGAACTTGTTGTTTCACGAAATGGAATAATTCAATTTTAATTTCAAAGATAATACAACGATACACCTTGCTAATCTCAACCTTGCAAATCCGCAATTTCAGAAAATCTGAACAAATTTCGGAATGGAAGAAAAATAAATAAAATATAAAATGCTTATTTGTAGAGTAAAGAAAAGATATTATAATTACTGTAGAACTGAACTTCCAATTATTGAACCACAAGTTGTCAAAATGAAACATTTATTGCACTGGTAACTACCGTATGTATCACATGTTTATGAAGCAGCAATTTTCACTTTATGAAACTTGCAAAATTGGTAATTTTTTTTCCCGCAAAGAACTAAATCCCTTTATGATGGAATTGCTATGCTATGAAACCAGTTTCTTACATCACATGCTACAATGCATTGCGTGGTAATCCTATATTTGTATATGTACAGTACCTTTTTTCGAATAATCTGAATATTTTCGAATCTGAACACACCACACCCCCAGTAAGTTTGGATTACCAGGGTTCTACTGTATTCTTTTTTCCAAAATAAAAAAATCGAAAAAATAGTGTATTCAATTTTTTTTACAAAACAAAAAAAAAAAATGTATAGTAAATGACAACAAAACTGCGGAGCAATTACTAGCCCCACAATTTTTAAGGAATCAGACTGATCATTCTACAACTACTATATGACCAACTAAAATTTTCGGTTATTCATCTCTTCCCCTACGTTGTTCCTTTTTCTTTCCTTATTTCCCTTTTCCTCTGCCCCTCTCTTTCTCTGTCTCCTCATGTGTCCTCAGACAGACTCCTTGAACTTATTTTTCTAGAGATTCTTTTTCCAACCAATTTGTCGACCAATTTCTCATTCATAAGTTTTACGGGTCCTCTTTTATACAATCTAGGCAGTTAAAAGGTGATTTCCCCTTTGGAGTATGGCCAGTGAAAAGATGGTATCAGCAGGAACCATGTAGTTTGATACCACCTGGTATTCTGTGGAAATTGATAGCAAGAATAAATATTCAAAACTTTAAAAATTGATAGTTTAATCCCCAAAAAAACAAACAAACAAAAAAAAAAATCTGATTTTTGTTATTTAGGTCTGTATTATTTCCATGAAACACACTATAGGATTTGGTAAACCTGTTGATATCTATCTTATTTAGAGCCAAATATTTTTGGCCAAACATTATTCCACTTAAGGTGAGATTTTCTGCCTCAAAACAGTTTCTGAATTACCCACTGTTAGTAGGGTATTTTAAGATGGAATTTTTTTAAAAGAAACTTTTTTATTTAGAAAATTAAAATATGATTTCTTCATTGATAATTCCATATATGTTTCTTTTGAGCATTTGTTCTCAACACCATTTCATGTTTTCATAGAATCTATGTATTTGTGAGCGTTCATTCATTAGAAAGAGCTTGTCACAGTTTTGAATTTTTGTTCTTTCTTTTCTATAAATGATAAAATACTTGTACAAATTTAGGATACTTCTTGATATCATATTTGTTAAACCAGACAGAAAATATGAAACAAGACATACAACGTACTTCACTAAAGTGCATGTTTACTTCAGTTATTTCTCCTGCAAAGTAAGCTAGGTTATATTATGTTTGCACAAAAATGTGCATTTTCATTCCAAGCATGCTTCTCGAGAATTTTATCAAGAAAGGTTTATACAGGATAGGAAATATTGTTAATTTTAATTCCATATTAAAGGGCATTTTTAGAATTTTTAGGTAATAAATGCATATTTTTAAAGGTGTATTTCAAAATTTTTAGGGCACAAAAATCCATTCCCTACTAATGAGTATTCAGAATGTTAAACATTTATATAGCATCACGTAGATTTACAGGAGGCATGACAGCCTCCTAACTTCCACCTCCAATTTGAGATTCTTATCCACAATTTCACAAATCCTCTTAATTACCATCCAAGTGTTATCTTCAAAGAGTTTTGTAATAGGTTATCATTACAGATCTTTATCTATATTGTACAGTGACTTTAGCTTAACTCCCAACCTATGTCTGAAAACACCACCTCTTGGCAATGTTTGGCAATTGTTTTGGCAATTTGGCAACGCATGAACTACCTTTGGCGATCCCTGAGAGTTTGGAGTGAGAGATTGTGGTTAATTTTAGTTGGAAGAAAAAGAAAGCACTTATTCTGTTAGTTTTCAATGTACCACAGCCCCTACACTGAAAAGAGTAAATGACTGTCTCGGTAAATGGTGGTTACTTTGACCACTCAATGGGCAGTTTTTTGTCATTTTAAAGAAATTATGTTGTATTATTTTTATTAATAAATTTGAATAATTATTAATTTACTACTGATTTTTTTATTGGTATTTTTAATAATTTTATTAAGACTTTTATTTACTTAACAATCAGATTCAGTAATAATAATACATTATTACTGTTATAAATAATGAAGAGTTTGGCAGTAATGAGATATCGTTCTGATTTCTCTCTGAGCTGACTTTCATTAAATAATAATAATAATTATTATTATGTTGGTGTTAATAAATTGATAAATAGTCATAATTTCTCTCCACATCTTCAGTATTGCAGTTTTGTTTCTTAAGCATAGAGGACAGAATCACCTAAAGAGATGTTTTGCTTCTTACTCATGTCTCTGCTCACACTTCCCCACCCCACTCATTCTGTGCAGCGTGAAATGCTTCTGGCCGGTGTGAGCCACACGCCTGCCTGCCTAAGCTCTTGTATGGGGAAACGCAGAAACAGGAAAGTTGCTGCAACTTATGACCTGAAGGTCGCCTCCTCTGCTGTCCCAACGTATGAGGCACAGCTGTCTTGCAACGGGGCAAAAACACACGGTTGCCAAATTGCCAAAATAATAACAAGTGCTGTCATACATGGGTTGCGAGTTAAGCTTAAAGGCCCTGTATGTTCCTTCTGGACAACACTAACTTTTACTCCTTATCTAGTGATGAAGTGATTGGTAGGCCTACTGACACTTCTCTTTGTGAACCTATGTGGAAAGGTTGTCATTATATTTATTTTCTATTAGAATGTGGTTGAATTTAGCTCCAAGTTCCTTTTCGGCCTTTCTTTTGTGAAAAATCATTTTAAGTAAATTAATTTTTCAGGAGGAAATGACAATGAAGACTCCAACAGAACAGGGACAGCTAAGAACCAGACACAGGGACACTCGTTTGAAGCTCTAGATCTCACAACAGGCAAGTCATACTTACTTCTCTATGTATCTATGCTTTATTATAAAGTTGTTGATCTAAAACAGGCTCCTGGTGTGCTCCTCAAGCAATGGAAGTTTTCATATTAGGCAATATTTTTTAATTCTAATAACTAAGTGATTATAAATTATGCAAATCATAATGATTATCCCAGCAACTCAATTAGAACATATAAGTGATGAGAATTCAAAAGCCTAGGAAAAGGACCTCAACACCTGAGGTCTTAAAGGTGTCCTTGACAGCCTTAGTTCAAAAAGTTGCAGGTTTGAATCCTTCCTGGGCATTGATGTTTTTGTCATTGACTGGCGTTATGTTGTTCATAGTGAGGTTCTTCAATCTCGTATATCATGTTTAAATCAGGCGCAGATCACCCGGGAGAGAAATGAGGGAAATTTCTCCTCCCAACATTTTTCAGTAACTATTAATGTTAACTTGTCATGAAACTTTCAAGTTTTTTTTTCATTTAAACATTAAAATTGTATATAATATGAATTGAGTTTAGCATATATAATTAAATTGTATTGTAAGAAGAAAATTATATCATAATACGAGCTTAGTTTAGCCTGCGTCATTCTACGTAATCTGTAATATGAAACGTTCTACCAAAACATTTTAAATAAAAAATTTCCCCTCCCAAAATTTGTCTCTGGATCCGCCCCTGTTGAAACCCTCTTCCTCTCCTTCTTCCACATCCTTCTTGCTCTTCCTTTCATTATCTGTGCACATCTTCTAGAATTGAGTGGGAAATGTAGATATTCAAATCATCATTCTCCATGTTCTCGAGCAAGAAATATTCTTTCAAAGAGGATTTGATAAGGCAAAAGGGTCCAAGTCTGTAGCTCATTTGCCCTTGAAAATATATTTTATTATATAGGAGCACTTATTTTGTTAACAATTCTTGCCAAAAATGCTCATTTCTTTCTGTATTCAGAATTCAACTTGTATATGGCTTACGGTAGGGATCCCAGAATTAAAAAATCATGCACAGAATACACTTCTCCCTGTAGCACATCACATGCAGTTTTTAACGGTTTTTGATGTAAAATTAAATTAAATAAAAAAATTACGAAAGTTACCCCAAAGTACCTGTTACACTAAGGCTGTTTCTTTGAATCCAACATGAGGCATGGATATTTGTGTGTTGTGGAGCAGTCCAAACCACCAAATAGTACCATTCTAACCACTTCGTTTCCTCATTAGACTTACAATACACTCCCCCAAACTGGCAAATTAAAGCTGAAATGGGTGCATTCAGTACCTCTGACAAATAGCTACTTGAGATCGATGGATAGGAACCTAAGGGCTACCTCCACAAGGTGGGGGAGGACACATCCAGACAACAACAGGAACAATGTTACAGAAGAAGGTGCTGGAGACCAGAGATGCGTCAGGGTGGACAGGTTGTGAAGAAGACTAAAGCTAACGAGTGGCCTGATCAAAATACATAAACCAAATCCAATTGGAAAGGTTAGGCAGCATCGTAACACAATCATTGAAGTTAACAAATAAAAAATGTTGCAGGTAAACGTAAGGACGATATTGCAGTGTACGACATCTCTAGTAGCACTGAGAGTGACTCAAGTGTTGAAGCTGATGACGATATAAGTAAGTGTTGTAGATTATTTGTTGTAGTTGGTGTGTTGTGTTGTGGCCGAAAGTTGTACAGACTACTAAAGTGCTCCTTAATCATTGGGAGTTTTCACATCTGTCAATGTTTATCAGTCTTAATAATTTACAATATTGCAGGTGGGCAACATTTATTTGACCTACTTATTCACTCATTTATTCATTTCCTCATTTACGTACTTATTTGGTTATTTTCTTATTTACTTTCTTACATTCAACTTAAGATGAAGATGAACAAAATTAAACTTGTAAAACAGTCGAATCTGTTACTCTTTTAATGAAAAGGCCTGTGAAATGTAAGTGATAAAAATTCAGGAAACAGTGCAGAGTGTAACACAATCACAGAAGTGAATAATTAAAAAAATGATTTTAGGGAAACATCGAAAAATAACAGTGCTTGACATGAGCAGTAGCAAAGAAAGCAATGCAAGTTATAATGGATAAGTGACATGGATTAGATTCTTTAGTTTTGGTGCACTGTTGTAAATTTCAATTATCTTGAAGTAATCAACATTTACATGATGGATATTAATACTCTTACATTATTACATTATACATTATGTGGAAATACTCTTCTTTAGAGAAAGATGCTAGTGATTTGAAGGTTCGTTCGCAATTTCCTGCAGGTTCAAAATGTCAAGTTACACTGATTATTGTATATGTGCTTTACTATAACGACTTTTGTCATAATGTGATCTTGAAATTTTTGGAGAATCAGAGCTCTCAGCTTTTAATTGGGGATTTAACATTATACAAGAAAATTAAAATTTTCCAGAGATATACACATGTTTTCAGATTACTTGTAAAATGAATTGCCAACAGACGCAAGATTCTTGTACAATTCACTGAAATGTGCAGATACTTTTACAAATATTTCAAGAATTATAATTTTTATTCATGATTACTAATTCCAAAATGATTATATTATTACTTACTACTATTTATGATGGACTTCCATAGAAGCCGAGTTCTATCAGAGTGACTATGAGCTACTTCAGTTGATTGTTTATGATAATTTGTTTGAAGTTCCAAGTAAGTATCTTGAGTGAAATATACTAGATACTTTACACAATTAATGATTACAGAATGTCTTCTAACAATTATAATTTGCTCAGAAACAATCACTGACATTTTCCCTTTGATTTAGCTATTTGTGCAAAATACTTGTTCTTGTGGGTAGTGAAGGGGAGAGAAAAGGTGTGACGTGTATTATTTATTTTACATAAATAATACACGTCAAGTGCTTAACTTTTGAGTTCTTGAATATTTTCCCCTCCAAAATTTACTGATACTAATTTATTTCTTGCTTGTTGCTCTTGGTCAGTGTGATCGCTTTCCACTACGTGGCCCCAGGTTCGATTCCTGGTCGAGTCAAGATTATAGTGTGTGTTTTTCTTGCAATGTCCCAGTGTATGTTGCTGTGTGACAATGAGAAAATTTACTTCTCAGGTTGAGAAGACCGGAATACGGCGTGGGGATGTCTACATGCTAACCACATGTACCCCCGTAACCCATTGCCGAGAGGCAGGGACGTCGCCGGTAGGCCTGAGCCCGTTTATGGGCTATTGCGCCAAGTACATACATACAATATATTTCTTAAGAGATAAAGGTCGTAACTGCAAAATTTCAATTTGAAAGACTTATGAAAAGGTAAAATCAAATAGATTTGTTTTTAATTTGCTTTTTAGTGTGTAACGACTGAAGTCACACATTTCTGTAATGTACATTTACGTTAAAACTGAATAATTTGATGAAGAGTGAAGCTAATATAATTATACTAATGTCCAGTCCAACAATCACTTTAGTGTTACTAATGAAAAAATACTTTTTTACACTAAATATATTTATATTAATATTTCAGAAAAAGAAACTTCAGAAAATGAAACCCCAAAAAGACACCTCAGACCTCGAAAAAATGTAAAGATTGCTGAAACTGCATCTGATAAGGACGTGGAGGAAAATGAGTTTTATGGTAAGTTTCTCACATTCCACTCACTAATTAATACTTTCTGCATTTACTTCAGTTTGTTAGGATCCACAATGGAATTTTGGTGAGGAGCTTCATATTTAAATTTATATTTATATATTTGTGAGAGAGAGAAAGCAAAAGTTATGAATGCATAATAAATCATAAATTTTTATGGATCATCTGACATGTACATACCAATACACAAAGTATTATTTTTGAAATATCACTGTCAAACAGAATTTGTTCTAGAAAGTATATATAAGTCGTGAATCACAAGATTTTCACAATTTAGGATGTTCAATTTCGATACTACACACAAAATAATAATTTTATAAACTGCATTTTTAAATTACTTGATAATGAAAATTAAAATATCATACTAAACATTTTATCAAATGAAATGTTGAAATCAAACACTGAAGTTATTCTTTTCTATTCCTAAAAGGTGCATCTCTTCTAGTGAAATGACAGCTACAAAAATTATTTCAATCGGTATATTACACCATTCACAACCAGTGGTATAGAATGAGGAGGATGAAGATAGACACAGTGTACTAATTAAAGAAGGAAACGAACAAAGGAATAATTGAATTTGGCATATATTTTTTACAGAACTTATTCTCCTTCAATTCTGAATCAGTTTTCAAAGTGGATGGCACAAGTTGTCTGGCTTCTTCAATGCTCTGCTGGTAAAGGACATAAGAAATCCAAGGGCCTTACTAGACATATCATATTACTAGACATATATTACTAGATATATCCGAGATTGCTACAGCACTACTGCCTTATAATCTCGGCTATCCGGAACGGGTTTTTTTGCCATTGTTCATAATATAATTAATTAATTAGTCAAATTTTCTAGAAGTTCAATACTATCATAATTTTGCTCATGAGTAGGGCGTATTTTGACAACCTAAAACATCACCTAAAATTATCAATAAAATGATCATAAAATGTTTTAAAAGTGCCCTATAAACAAAGAAAAATGAAAAAAATTTGATCAAAACTAGTTCATTTCAACAACTTAAACAGTTGCATATGTTACTGATGTAATTGAAGCTTCTTCTTTTCGTTCAAGTGAACTCATCTGGCAAACTTTGGATTTGGACTGTTCTTTACCAGGAAAGCTCTGTCTTAAGTTTTCATGAAATCGGTTGAACCGACAGTGGTGCTGATAGGCATTACAGGAACCTTAGATTACATACAACATCTGACATTACAATTTCTAAGTGAAGAAATCAAATAGGCCACTCAGGAATTATGTGGATAACACGTTGCATCTCGAAATATTATTTGAAGTAAGAACCAGTAAAATGATTTTAAAATTGATGCAATCAGTGAAAAATGCTTTACAAATGACAGAAAAAGATAAAAAATGACTTATTAGTCGAAATTGATGGAAAATGCAGAAGAATGTCATACAATAATAGGTCATATCCTTTTGTCATAACATAAAATTTATATCTCTTCTAAATTTTTTTGTAGGATAGAGGAAAGTATGCTTATAAATATAGCACAAATCTGATTTTTAATGATTTTTCTGAATTTTCAAGAATTGCAAAAGTCTAACATTTTTTTGATGTCTAGATATTGAAGATTAAGAATTTCCTCTGTGTGAAATCTGTTTCTCAAAATTAGATTTTTAAATGAAGTGATATAGCCAACATTTTCTTTTCCAAAATATGAGTAGTTTTCACATAATTAAACAAGAAACTCAGGCAATTTTAAAAATAATTTTTTTTCCAAAAATGGCTTCAAATTTCTTCTTGAAACTTTTTGTACAGATAATGTGAAATTATGCTAAATAACATTACATAACATTAACACCAATCGGATGTATTATTTTTTTTTTTCAAAAATTTCACAACTGTAATTTGTTTGATATCTCTTATGTTAATATTTACATTTATCGCATATTTTATGTATTACTGCATTTGTGGGTACAAGTGCTTCAACTGATTTCTGATGAAATTTTTTGAATACTCAATAGATTTTTTGAAAACAAGCACTGCGCATTTTAGAAATGCATAAAATTCATTTTCTCAAAAATGGCTCCAAATTTTTCAAAGAAAATTTGCATATAACACCAGGTTTTACTTTAATGTTCTTAATGTTATATTTCATCTCTACTATTAGTGGACTCAACTCTCCAAGCTATCTTTCAACTTTGTATATTGTTCAACATAAATCTATTATTTTTATTACGGTATCATTATAGCTATAATTTCATTCTTTTTATAGTATGTTTTCTATTTAGTATGAAAATATGTCTTAAATAATTATAAAAGTTCAATGAAAAAGGGGCTCAGACATATTGTTGTCCCCCTCTTGTTTTAGGTTGCTCATGCATATGATAATGACATATTTACAAAGTTGTCATTTTATTTATGTTGCTGTCAGATATTCACTATGGTTCTTTTGAAATTCAGAGAAGGGAGAATGTGGCTTGATATGTCCATTGATGTTTTGTTTGCTATTCAATTTTATTTACTGTTTTCAAAACTTTTTCACAGAGTGCTACCAGTGTAAACAGCCCTGTGAATACTACTGCCCTTCGCACAGCCTTTGGCTGAAGACCAAGGATGCTCCTCAAGGTGCGCCATATTGGACAGCAAAAAAATCTACACCAAAAGAATTGGATATAAAATTGTCAGGGATACCTAAGGCTGGATTAGGCATCTGGGCACGAGTTTCATTGCCCCAAGGAACTCTGATGGGCCCATTCATAGGGACTATACATCACAAGTGTCCAGTAGACAAAACTTATGTGTGGAAAGTATGTAGGACTTGTAAAGTTAACACAATTTCTTTCAACTTTTTCTTTCCATTTTATCTTATTCATGCCAAATCTGTTTAAGGTGCAATCAACAAACACATATATAAACTCAAAAAATATATATAAAAGTAATTACTTACGTTACATAAACTGTGCAAGACACGCTAAAGAGGAAAATGTTGTGAGCACAGAGATTAACAAGAAAATTTACTACAGAACAACACGTGCCATTGAGGCTCATGAAGAGTTATTAATATTCTATAATGATGAATCTGTTGTTAAAAGAAAAGATTTCCATCAGAACACTCCAAGTAGTGTGCCTTGTAAGTATTTACTTCTGGTGTTTCTTTGTCCTACAATTCTCCTTGCATCTTATCCTCTCATTTGAATGCATTTGACTTTTCACCTAATTTTGATCATGTCATCCAAGGAAGTGGAATGATGAATCATGGGAGTCCCGGAAAATGGTAATTCTAGTAATAAAAACCCATAAATATTCAAAAATATCCATTGTAAATTTACACATTTAATAACTTTCATAAGTAAAACAGGAACATAATGAAATAATTATTGCCATATTAAACATTTTGGTGAAATTAATTAGATGACAAATACCAAATAGATGAACATTCCCCTTTTGGGATTTGGATTGAAGGCAGGTTTTTAACATTGGAGCATGTAATGAAAATATGTGCTAATTGTGTTTGATGATTAAATTAATTGTTTTTAATTCTGAAATTTTTGCATGTCTTTTTTTTTATTAGCTTAAAACATTTTTGGATCAATATTCTTATTAAACAATTTAACCCATGCTTACATTGGCAAAAATAACAATAATGAGAACTATAAATGGACAATATTCACTTCAACATCTCAATTTTTGAAAATTCATTCAATTTTCAGAAAATTGAATAAACTTTCAACAAAAGTTATTCCCTTTATTGTGGCTTTCTTCTGTAAAAGTTCAAAAAATATTAATCACATAAAAAACATTAATAATTAATGGTAGTCTTGTTTTAAGTGGAAAGACACTTTTTTATAAGAAACTATCTGGTTTTTTAATTAATTCTTACAAGTGCCGGGCAGATGCTAATGTAGCTGCTGAGGTTACCACCAAAGTCCATGTTCTTGTATAACAATGTTCATCAAGTACAAGAACATTTTGAGTAACTGGCAAATATCTTAAAGCTTTCTAAATCTTAAGCATGGTCCAATCTTGGTGTATCATGGAAGCATGGACCCTACAATTTGTGATGATGAATAGGACAGAGGTATCTGAGATGTAGTCATGCCATAGAGAAATGATAATACCTTATTAATCTATAGTCATACTAAAGAATTTACTTGGGTTGCATGAGATGAAATAATTTAAATGTACAACTCCTTCAGATAATTTGGAAGGGAAAGTAGAAGGGAAGAAGATTGCCGGTCAGAGTCTAAAAAATGCCAATTCAGAGATGTTAGGTAGTAGATATATTGTTTGATTTATTTATTACTTTGCTGGCTTCTCATTAGTCTCGTGGGTGTAGTGCATATTATATCCCGGGAGGTGGCGGTGTTTTACTTCCGGCGGTATGCGAGATCTGGCACCAACCTACATGTTGGCTAGCCATGTTTTTCCCTCCAAGTATTTTACCAGTGGGGCACTATCCCATCTAGGATATGCTCAGTTTCCAAAGTTAGCACTTGTAAGAAAATTTCACTAATTTCGTTTTCTAATAAAATATTTGATGTGGTACAAGTACTAAAATGCAATATGTATTCAGCCAGGTATCTATGACTGAATAGAGATATCCTGAATGAACTAAAAATCCTTATTTAAATAAAAATATCTCACTAATCATAACAAATAAGTTTTGATCCCAAGATTTCTGTAAAAATTCTGTGTTTATCATTTAAAACAACAAAAAAAAAATATTCTTAGACATTTTCATTAGTAATAAAATAACATTATATGCTAATAATATTTGAAGCTGACACAACTATTTTGATCTTGTGCAGATGCCACCTTCACATGCGCAGTGTGCAAGAAGTACTTCAGAAGTCCGTTATGTGCTAAAGAACACTGTAAAAAGAAAACTGGGACAACTTGTAGGTTTTGTAAGAACGACCACAGTAAGTAGACCCAAATGATTGTAGTAATGTTTTCAATAAACCCAAAACAACTGTTCATCATTAAATGAGGGCTGAGATAACATCCAGTTCCAAATTTTTTTAACATAAATTAACAGCAACAAAAAGAGTCTGGAAATTCTAATTAGCTTCCCAGAAATTTACTAAGAATATGATGATTGCTAGCTTCATTATCTCCGTTTACAGACTCAGTGTTGTTTTCACTGCCATGGGGCAGTGAGTGCCATGCTGACATGTTGAACAACAGTGTTTGTACAATTTTACCTACAATATGATTTTTGTGAAAGTTCATTATGTCTTAATTTATTATGATGTTTTTATTATTCATTTCATTTATGGTGTCTGGATATTCAAAATGAAACAAATTTTGGTTCATAACGAAATCAATTACAATCAACCCCCCCTCCCCCCCATCCCAAGTACAAAGCATAAGCGAAAAGCATACCTTAGTCAGTATCAGCATGAAATTTAAATGAACATTTATACTTTAACTTATTTAACTGATTAAGACAGCAACAAAGAATTTGCTTACCAAAAATTGTCTCATAGATGAGAGTTATGTTAACTGGTCAAAAACCACATCCAAAATGAAGGATGATGGTGCATTTTGGAAGGTTGACGTTTTCAGACACTGAGTAAGGTAGAAGGTAGAACATGGAGGGGGAAATTGGAGTAAGATGATAATAGTGGAAAATTCTGAATTTCCTCACTGAAGCCAGTTGATAATTATTTGTTTTTGTTTATATGTACTACTGTAGACAGCCTGGCAGCTTAGCTCCATGGTCAGCGTACTCGCTTTCCATGACGCAACCCCACATTCGATTTCCGGTCAGGGAAGATACTAGTGTGTTTTTCTTGCAACATCCCTGTATATGTTGCTGTGTGATGAGAAAATTCATTTCTGAGGTTCAGAAAACCCTTAACCCATGGCCGCGAGGCTGGGATGTTGCCGGTGGGTCATGGCCCGTACACGGGCCGGTGCGCGAAGTACAAACCAAAAACTATGGTAGATAAGTCGACCTATAAAGATATCAGAGTAATAGTATATGGATCCGTGAGAACATTTCACACTATGCCATTGTTTTAAAAGTGAAAATACCTTCAGATGGAATGAAGTTCAGACATTTATGACAACTCATATGGCGAAGTGAGAGAATCCAAAAAAAGTAAATGCGTATTGTGGCGTTATGGGATTGTGCAACCCCATAACACCACCGTCTCATGTGTGAACACTACGGAAGCAGCGAGATAACAGACGCGGTAAGGCAGAGGTTACTTAAAACGCCCGCGGCCTGGTATCCGTTGCCCGTACTAAACGAATGCGAACTTGCAAGTAATGTTTATCCTTGTGAGGGTTAAGAGAGGGGAAGTAGCCGCCTACCACGAAATTTCCCCAGGGCGCCGCGCATAAATACGCGAAACCCGCCAAGCGGAAGCTCTTTTCTGCCACCACGCTCGAGTAAAGCAGCTGCTCTTTATGATCACGTTCGCGAGTCAACAAACTTTCGTTAAACATTAGTTTAGATATTGTTTGCCGCTGCAAACGACTTAACTAGGTAGAGTATTCGGCGTTCGAACAGACGTTCTAGCTAGTCGTTCCGCGAAGATGAGTGCAGATTAAGTAGTTTCTTCACATTAACACACGGGAAGATTCAAAAAATTACCGCCAGTGTGAGGGAAAACATTAAAGCGTTCTAGCTTTCAAATAAAACGTAGCAACGAAGCGAAGAACTTGACCGAGTATTCGGTAAAGTGCAAGGGAAATTTTCGCACCGTGGGCGTAGTCAGAGGCGCCGTAGCAGAAGAGAAGAAGAAGAGGCCAGGACTTGGGCGCACGAGGAAAGAAAGACGATCGAAAACGAAGAAGAACGGAAGAACGCAAGAAAGGCAACGCAGACGGCAGGGCGAATCCCATCTCTCTTACAACGCAGAGGTTGGGACGAGCGGCGTCACCGCAGCGAACCAGCGCACGACCATCAAGGCCAAAATTGCGAAGTCCACGAAGGTAACAGTTAGAAGTCGCAGGAAAAATTAGTCAAGTTCACGTCCGGCAGGGAAAAACTAGTATTAGAAAGTGTAAGGAATTTAAGGACACGGGTGTAACAAAATTACAGTATTATAGTAGGAGACGTTTTGATTGCGCTATTGCCCTGCCTAAAAAAACATTCTACTTAGGACATTTATTATTTCGGCTAGTTTCAGACACAGTTTAAATTGTAAATTAGAGTAGTGCACGGGTACACAATTTTGTTCTTTAATGTTTAAAAAAAAATATCTTGAAGCGAGAGATGTGTAAAATGAATTTTGATTTCATGTGAATGTTATTAGGATAGCACGAATTAGATATAATTAATTTCCAAGGGAATTCCCAGGTGTAGTTAGTGTAAATTATGTCAAGTTATCAATTTTGAGTAAAATTATGTGTTCATTCCACAGAGTCTGTGTTGTAAAGTTTCTATTTGTGTTTTGATTTATTCTTTGTAAAAGTTGCGATCTATATCTTGGTGTCTGTCATCAACTTATTGGCACCATAAAAGTTTATGGTAAATTATACCGCTCCGCTTTGTGTGCAATCTGTGTGATTTTTTATTGCTGTCAAGGGGTTTCAAAACCTTTCTCGCACCTGAAGCATTCTGCTCCCTAGATTTTTAAAGCTCGCTTCACGAGCAAAATCTTGACAACCTGCTTACGGTTCATGCGTGCTACTGTGAAGGTGGTAAGTTGGAGGTGTAGGGGGGTATGTTAGAGTATAAAACTTGTAATAAATAGGAATAAAAATGCATCGCTTCAATTTTGAAAAAAATTCAGAAACATAAACCATAGCTTCACTAAAAAGGAATTTTACTCTCATATACAAATGTAAAGAAAAAAATTAAATTGATATTTCATAATAATAAATTACAAATCAGAATTGACTTTATAAAATCAGGACAATTCCGCTAAAATTGGAACGTCTCGAGACCCTTCTTACGTTTAGTGGCCTGTTATTGCTTCCCAATCGCCCAATTCTTGATCTTCTTTATGAAAGTTCTCCCATGTTTCTTGCTTTAGTTTGTTAGGATTTCCTTTTGGAGACAATGATACATTTCGGACTCTGTGGCAATGCTTTGTAGCGTGCTCTATCTGCACTTGATTGTTCACGTTTACCAGAATTCGCGGTGTCTCAGAACATGGAAATATACCACTGTGAACAGTCAATGACATTTAATTTTGAAAATGTATTAATTTGTGAAATTGAAAAGGGTTAAGCACGATAAAAATTAAGTATATTAAATAAATGTTCAAATTATTAAAATTAAAATTGTAATAATTATAATTTTAAAAAAATGGGATGTGTTGGCCCCCTTGAGAACCATGGGCCTTGGGCGTTGTACCAGTCGGCCTTGATGGCTCAGGGCATCAGTTGATGTCACTGCCTCTGACCGGGAGGTCCTAAGGTTCGACACTGACTAGATTGCTAGGTCGAATTCAGTCGCTGTGGAGAAGAATTTTAGCGGCCGGCTGCTCTGTTCGGTAGTTTTCCTCCGATTAACTCCAGGCAAACGCCGGAGGAGTACCCTAACAAACGGGCCCAGGACCACGCTATCTCTCCTTCCTCTTCCTTACCCTGTCCTCACTACTTACTTACACATACTTACACCCACTACAGAACAACGAATGCCGGGAGACCAATGGGAGCTTTAAGCTCGTCTCGGCAGGGGCGTTGCCCCGTTGGTGAGAGATACCTGGTTGGTAAATTCGCCGGCGCCGGATCTCGCCATTCAACGGGGAAGATCAACTCCATCTCATGAGATAAACGCATCACCACACTTACGGGACTATTGGCCTTGGCAGTTGACGCGCCCGGAATCGCTAGTCGATAAAAAGCGATATACCGGCTGTACCCCCCCCCCTCGGGCCCGATGAGAAACATCCTCGTGAAACCCCCTCGCCCTAAAATTGAACATATTTTTCTGAATGACCTCTTAAGGCCCATTCACAATGCAAACAAGCCTAAGCATGGCGTCAACATAAAAGTTAGGACTAAGTCCGTAAGCAGAGTCACTCACAACCCGTTCGCATAAGCATAACACGTAAGACATTTACTTAAAAGCTTTCAAGTTTCAAACTTCTGTGCTTATACTTAAGTAAGACATACGAAATGAACCAATCACAGTACGTTTACTCAAAATCGATTATCGAAATAGGATTGAACTTGATAGACGAACTAACGCCATGTACCATGAGCCATGGACATAGTCGATACCTAGTAATCCATTCTTATATCCAACTAAGAGAAAATTAAGACTTTCTCACAGCCAATAGAAAGTCTTATTTTGCTTACGTTTATGTTAGACATTGTGAATACTTCAGTTTATCACATGTTAATATTTACGTCTGTGCGTTATGCTTATGTTTGTGTTTGCATTGTGAACGGGCCTTCAGAGCAAATACCAAATTACATAAAAAAAACGAAGATTTTTAAAAAGCCAAAAGGATTTTTTTTAGAAAAAGGTCTTAATATAATAATTTTTTCACTTGGTTGGAGACTCCTTTTTTCTTTCAGTTTCTGTGCGCATTGGAATTTACTAACATAGATTAATATACGTAGTTGGGTGCGACTTGCCTACATTTTCAGTAATTGTTTCGAACAGTTTCCATCGCTAAGACGAATGTGCTGTGTTTTGAACGATGTTTGAATGCCTTGTAGAATTGATACCTCGCGTTCAAAACGCACAAGTGGGGTTCAGCTGAAATGCCAATAATTCGAAGCAAGATGACGGCAGTCTGATTGTTGGGTAGAGGTGGCTCGTGCCCGAAAATAAAGTGTTATAAGTACAAATCGACCCATAGTTTAAAATAAAAAAGTTAAATGGGTTTGCTTAATGATTTACTTCCTGACGGAAAACGAAATCCATGCGATACTCTTTCTGGCAACAAAAGACGTCGATCACCTTTGAGTAGAAACCAGTGGCGGCTTCTCAGGGTAGGCGAAGTTGGCAGGCAGAATCATGGATGGGGTCATTCGTTATTTCGCCTTCTTCAAGTATTTGTACGTACTACTTCAAAATTCCTTCCCATAATCCGCACATGTAGACATTTTGACAGGGAGTGGCAGACTACAATAGCATGCAGCACGACCAGGCGAATCCACTCCATCCTGGAGCAGCAAACCTGCAAGTTAAGCTACTATCAAATCCTAAAATGTGCTTGCAAACTTGCGCTATCAGATAGCCAAACAAGCACGATTAACTTCAATCTTGACGAAGTCAACAACAACAACTACAACAACACTGTCTATTTCTATAGTTGTAGAATGGCGTTTCCCTCGGCGCGTCGGCGACACAAAAGCGAATCGAGCGTTGCTTGCGACGTGTGGTCAACACGGCACCTGCACACGTGGCGTTGTCGTTATATTCCACTTCAAACGGCCGCACTTAAAGGCGGCGAACAAAGCGAGCGAGGCCGCGGCGCGCCATATAAAAAAGCGAATGCAGAATGTATGCCCTTTGTGGGAGGCAGGTATTGCGAGACTGCCCCCTTTACACTGGCCCCTGTGGACAAACAAACTCGCGCGTCGTTTGTTAGGTTCAGGGTAGGCCAAACTAGGCCAAAAGAAGCTACGGCGGAGCAGACTACACCCTTTGCACATTCAACCCGTGTGTTTGTGTTTGTGTGTGGGGGAAGGAGTGATATACAGTGGTGTAGCGTAAGGGGAGACAAGTCAACTCGTTTTCAATAGTGTCTACTTGCGAATGAAAATATTGAATGAATTATTAATGAAAATATTAGTACAATATGGCATTTATGAATTTCTATAAAACATCTTTCAATTAGGAGTCTTGTTTCAGAATCAAAGGCCGAAATCCCCGCACTGAGTCAGTGCTCGGCCATTAAGGATAAGAGGGACCTAAGTGAGAGGTCACAGGGGGGACATCCTGATTTCTCAGGTTTAATCCTGAATAAGGAAATTCAGCGCACGTATCGCAGAAGAAACCCCAGCAAGGATAATTTTTTGTCGAAACAAATGAATCACTTCAACCCCTTAGATACATTTCTCCCGTGGCCAGAGAGTGTGATCAGCTGATTCGTCACTGCTTTGGAGTGTTGTGCAGTGGCGGCTGTGAACAAGTTGTTCGGTTTTGGCAAACCATGGATTACGAAAAGGCGGCGAATAGGGGTGGGGGCAGGGGAGCCTCTGCACCGACCCCCCCCGTAGGTTTTCTAAATGTATCCAAAACAATCGTCACATAGTGATCGTGATTGCGGTACACTGAATTAACTGAGAGCCAGCAGTCATTGTTTCCGCAGTGACTCTGATCATGAGGTCGTTGGGTTCGAGTCCTGGCGATGGCGGAGTTTTTAAGCCAGCTAGAAATCTAGGTCGAATTAAACCACTGACTGGAGGAAAATTCTAGCGGTCGGCTGCTCTGATCAGTAGTTTTACGTGTTTTCTCAGACAAAAACGAGGCGAATACCGGAGCAGTGCCCTTACATAAGAGAAACGGACCGCGCCGTCGACGTGAACCCGAGGACCTCCGGTCAGAGTCGCTGCAGAAACAGCGGTAATGAACGAAAAGAAATGAAGAAAACTGAGCTAAAAGAAATTCGGAAACATTCAGAACAATTCCGGAAAGAAATGATAATAAACTCTAGAAATGAACAAGAAAATGAAGCAATTAGAAAAAAGTCGATCCAAAACAAACAAATCATGTAGAAAAAATAATATTGGACAAAAGTTTGAAGAACAAACAAAAGGAAAGGAGTACAGATTGAGTAATATTATGACTGAGAACGCTGAGAGACAACTCTGAGCAGAAAAAAACAATATAATAATTAAAAGTTAAGATATCAAAACAGGAGAAAGAAGAGAAGCCAAGGTCGGTCCGGATGACCGAGATTGTTAAGACAGTGGTGCCGTAGCAATCTCGAAACGATGTCCCGCCTCAAGCGTGGTTGTACTAAATGTGTTCGTCCTTTCACCCCCTATTATCATATCACGTCTTCTTCACAGTTACCAAACCGTTAAATGTAATAGTAGTAGCGAATGACCTAGATGTTGATGCGAACTTCAATAAAAAAGATAAGTCAAGGAAAATGACTAAATATCCTACAGAATCCTATACACCCACCCAGCCACCCACGCGCGCGCGCGCGCGCGCGCGCGCGCGCACACACACACACACACACACACACACACACACACACACACACACACAGGATATTGGTACATAGAGCGGTTTACTGCAACCCCGTCGGACCGATCTCTATAGAAAGTTGTTATATCTACCCAGAAAGTTTTTCACCCAGAAGGTTTATGTGCTGTGTTAATTTTGTTGTAACTCCACTAGATGGCACTGGCCAAGGCCTCAATGAAACGTTTCTCACACCGTAATCTACAGGATGAGATCACCTTGAACATTCTATGACATTTAAGCTGGTCTGGTGCTTCTCGATATTACCCCACCTACTCACAGATGTGCAGAATCTGCAACTAAATGTGAATGAGAGGGACAGAGAGGGGCAAAGACAGAGAGAGAGACAGACACAAACAGACAGGGACAGAGAGAGGGAGGGACGGCGAGAGACGAAAAGAAAGGGAGAGGGACGGAGAAAGAGGGAGATGAAGGGCAGAACGTCTGCCAGGTCCCGCTTGTAGAGTATACAAATTCAGGACTTTTGGCAGAAACTATGAAAAATCTGCCGGGACAGTGGGACACGGCGTATGGCAACCCTAAACTAAAGGCATTTTGAGTTTGAAACTAATATTTTGATGGGGGGGGGGGGTGTTCTTCCTGATTTCGTCGAAAATTGCAAAAGTTCAATTTTTTTTCGCCGTCTTCTTACAAATACAATATTGAAAATAAAGATTGTTTCTTAATAAAATCTGTTGTTGAAAACTAGATTTCTCAATAATGTCAATAAAAATCTGGATTTTCGAAAATTGCAAATGTCAATGTTAACTTTGTTTTCAAAGCTTCAAGAAGGTTATATTTACATGGGAAGCAGCAGCTGTAAGAGTGATATGATTGGCGTGACAAACCTAAGAACCAGAATTTGATTCCCATCATGGAAAAAAATAATTGTTGGTTGAAAACACTTTGGCAGGTTCAACTAGTATTATAATTTTGCACGTATGTTACATATATAATGCAAGAAAGCATGTGTTGTTGTTGCATCACAATTTCATTTCTTTTAGAGCCAATTTAACTAAATGGAAATACATTTGATTTAAAATATATTTAGAATATTTTTTTTATTGCTTTTAAGTACAGAAAACGTTTTGTTTTGATTGCAGATTAAGAGCACACCACTGAGACCAATTACCATCACTCTTGAGTGTCTTAATGAGGGAAATTTCCAATGATGAAATTTTCTCTATGTATTGCAGCATATTCAGTGTTATTGTACCTGCAATTTGATATTTACAATATATCTGAAATGTGTGAATTAAATAGTTTAGTGACTACCTTCAGAGTGATATGTGGGATCTGTTATATGAAGTATAACTCTGATACAATCTTTAAGAACTAGTGAAGTAGTGTTATATACTAATAATCATCATGCTCATTATGAAAACCCAGTATTATTTCACATCATTGTTATCATGTCTTGAAAAACAAGAACCAAGACCTTTAAAAACAAGGCAAAATTTGTTGGTCCACTGTCTGTTCAAATATGTCTATACTACTTTAAATAGTATCTTGTTTAATTTTCAATGTGAATCATAATTACTGTTTTCAATGGAAAAATCTTTTTCATTTCGAAGTGTTTAAGTATTTTGTTTGTTTTTAAGTGTTTAGTGTTTTATTTTTTGTGTTCAGTGTTTAGTATTCCATAGTGAAGAGTTTAAACTGTATAATCATAACATTCATTAACACTATATTGTGAAGTTAATTATGATTATGAGGGCTACTTGTTTGAAGCCATTGTGAAAATTACACTTCATTGTTTCTTCAGTAGAATCATTGTTGATCTTTTATTTTTTAACAACCCTCATGCAATCTTTGAGTTTTCTTATATGTTAGAATGAGTGCAAACAACAATTTACCAATAACATATTTGTTTAATCAACACTTTTGTACTTTAAATTTTTTATTCATTCAGAGTGGGTGCTGAAAATTGAAAGAAAGTGTATCTGTTTAACAACTTTAGTATTAAAATTTCAAGTGTTTACCTGCTCCAATGTTCTGTTCACAAGACGTGAATGAAATAAAAAATATTTGTAAACAATATTTCAACATTTTTCTTCTTACAAAATATAACCTTAACATTTTTATCTTATTTTGTTTCTTTCAGAGTTCAGTGTTAACAATATAGAAATAACTTGCATGTAGTCACCGTGTGCATTAGCACCAAAATGCTATTTGAACAATGTGAAGAATGGTAGAAAATGGATTCTTATAGAATCCGTATTTTTCTTACTGACCTAAAAAAAGGGGGAAGTGCAGAAAATATGTTCTGCCAAATGGTAGCTACCCTCTTTTTCTTAAAAGATTTCCAGGAAGGCAAATTTTATTGGCTAAAAATTTACTAACATATTTCTGAATTACTCTTTTTCAAACATGTGCTTGTAATTTTGTTGAAGATGCATTCAATTTTACTTTCCCACAATTGCATGAATGGGGTGGGGGAGAGGTAAGGGAGAATAATTGCGCCCACATGCAACCCCCATGTTTAGACATCTAAGAGCTATTATTCTGGCTCGAGGGATTTCTTCCAAGGATAACATCACAGAGCAGATTTTCAGAAGAATGAAAGGTGAAGGATGCAGTAAAGTATTCAAGTAGAACTTTGTGTTTATCTGAAGATGAAGTTGTAATGGATGTTGGAGTAATCAGAGTTGGTATGATGGTTGTTTTATTCAAGATTTTCCGAATTATTGCTAACAGTGTGATCAGCTGGATTGGCGGTTTTTGTTTGGAAATGAGAGAATTGGTCATGAAATATTGCCAAACGATGCTTGACTTAGTGAGTAGATTTAGATAGGATTTTAGGAAATGAAAGCAATGCTTTTGCCAATGATTTTGTAATATATCTTTTGTGATAAAATAGTTTCTGTAAGATTAGTGAAATGTGTGATAGTGGGTAGGGTGAGCATACTGGGGGAGCTTATGCTCTGGAGAATTGAGTTTGAGGGGGCAGTTTAAGGAGCCAATGGCTTTGTCAACATCCTGAATGGTTTTTAATGACCGGGAGAGGGTAAAATGTGCATAATTAGGTGCTAAAATATGGCCAATGTACTTTTTGTAGGAACAGAGCTCTGCAGGACTATTGTCTTGTATGCTACATTTATAGAGAAAATTAGGAGGTTGATTGACGAGAAAGTGATAGACTTTATGAGAATATTACTGCTAATGTTGCTAGAGATACCAAAGTCGAGAATATCTGCTTGAACTGAAGTTTGTTAATAATAATAATTGGGAGAATAAGGAGCATGCACTGTAGTTTATTCATTCTCTGCTGGCAAGAAGTAGGATGTGGGTGGGAGAATTGATTCTACTGCCTCAGACTATATGCTTGGAGCTCCAATCCCCAATTACAAGTGTAGGTAGGGTTGAAGCTACGAATGAGTCATCTGGATCACCTATTCTGTAAATAATATTTGGGGTCTTGTATATTGAGGTCACGATGAGATAGAATTGAGGCACTCAGAATAAAAACGTCAGATTCCAACCGAAGTTCGTTTCTAGAAAAAATACTTTTTTCTGATGTCCTTCAAGTTAACTTTCACTACGGAAAGATGTTTGAAGGTGAAATTCAGGGGTTTTAATATACCTAAATTCATTTAATATTTTAGCATATGATAGGTATATGGAAAGAGTTTACCGTCGTACTCTTAAGTTACAATGCAAGGTTGGTTGGTATGTGCCGTTATTATACGTAGTGCCTTAATTGACGGGGTTGAATTACACTGCTGGCATTTTCAAATAAGGGGTTTGTTTATATCGGTAGTTTATAATGAGAAATTTTAGGATTAGTAAAAGTGACAAAACCGCCAAAGCTGCGGTTTCGAGAGTGATAGAACATATTTGCAGGGATGAAGAAGTTTGCACCAGGACTCTGGTGCGTTTCTTGGATACATGCATATATATGTATATGCATATTATTTCTGTGCAGAAAGTGCCAGAGTGTGAATATTGTTTCGTAGGACATTTGCATCCCGGGTATGAGGTGGATTGAATAATGTGTTGTTGTTTTCTTTGACATAGATTTGTGAAAAATGTTTATTTCTAGGGGCGGATTTTAATGAAGTAACATTTTTTCCTTTTCACTTTAGAACGATGCCTTTTAGTACAATTTTATGTTATGAAAAAAAAGAAGTGACCCATTGAAATGACTTTTTCTGCATTTTTCTTCGATTTCGTCTAATAATTCATTTTTTTATATTTTTTCGTCATTTTTAAAGCCTGGTATTTGCTTTATTTAATATTTACGAGATGCAACAAACGTTTTTCACAGAATTCTTGAATAGCCTATTGAATTTTTCGCTCAGAAATTGTAACAAAGCTACAACAGTACAAACTTTCTCGCTCATATTTTCAAGAGAAAATTATGCGAAATGTACCTACTCAAATTTTCGAAAAATTCTACTTGACCTTATTTAAAAATATATCTTTAATTAACACATTTCATTACGGGAGAAAATCATTAATATTTTAGTTGTAGGCTCCGAAAATAGAAGGCTCCGAAAATATTTTGCACTTTTGAAATTTTCGAAAACTCCTATTTCAACGATCTGCACCATTCTCTTAAACGTCAACAATCGAACAAAAAATGTAATAAATAGGATGGAGCCATTTTTTTAAAAATTTAGGAAATGTCCCTGGAGCCTTCATGTAAAGTACCCTCTAAAATTAAAATATCGGTTTCAAATTCAAGGGGCCGTGACATCAGCCAGATCGATAGGTAAACATAAATTTTGGAGAACATCGGCAGAACGGTTTAGTCGCTAGCGTTGTTCACAGACGGATGTTCACGCACGTTTTGCCGTCATTCGATTTTTCGGTGTCTAGAGTATTTTTTTTCTCTACGGCTACTCCAGAATGTATACATTTCTGCACGTTATCGGATGCAGTAACGATTCCTAAAGCTGTGCGAAAATATTATTCTCGCATGGCTGTCGACCAATCATATTCGTCTTAGTTTATTGCACACGGCTGAGGGTTCTCGCAGTCGCGTACAGAGGGCAACAGCGCAACTGCTGCGGCATACGACACGTGAACCAGGAAACTGCGAGGGTTCAGAGATTGTAGTATGTGAGGGTCACAGTATTGTAAGGGTCAGGAAACATTGAGTGTTCTGTGGCCGTTCTGTAAGGTTGAGGCGCCCATTTAGTATTTTTAAAACATCAAATTGAAAGTCGTATAGAAAGTATAGTCTAACTCGCGGCTATTATTCACTCATAGAAATTCCGACACTCACTCCTACGTCGCTCTTGTCGCAAACATGTCGTGAATAATAGCCATCATTCTAGGCTCGTTGAATATACTACTCTAAGTTTAGCAATTTTTCGTTACCAGGGCCCTGTAATAAGAGTTTTTCTGCCGTAAATTCGCCGTTTTTTTCGCGTAGTATTACCAAACTTTCTATGCCGTAACGATTAAGTAAAAGAATAGTCTTGTTCTTCAAGAATTAAAATACTCCTCTGATTGGTGAAAAAGTTGTGAGGGCGAGATGAAATTCAGGAAGTTCACGGTGAAAGAACATAATCCTCCTTTTTTCGGTTAAAAGCTCTAAAACCTCTGAAAGGCGTGGACTGGACTGCCAAGATAAATTGATTTTAAAACAATAGCATGAACTTTGAGAGACCTGACTGACAAAAAAGCAAGTTTTTTAAACTTTTTTCAACATGCGCAGGATTCAAGAAAATAGATTTCAAAATACATTGCAATGTTGCCTGTGCAGGGCGACAAAAGTTTCGCGAATTTTGTAACTCCTGCCTGGTGCCTCAAGTACTTTCTAGAAACTGCGGGCGTTCTTCTTGGAGGCTCTTGTGTCTTCACTGTCCACTGGAGCTCAGTGTAAACTACGAACTTCCTGAAAGTTTCCATGGCGCCGCTGGTGTGATGCACTGGCATGTTTTCGTCCTTTACATAGCAGCTACAGGAATTTCAAAACGCTTGAGAAGTTTCACATCTAACAAAGCAGTTCCAGACTGAATCCAGGGAAGATAAATATAAAAATATTTTCACTAAGACTAAAATACAGATCGTGCGTTATCTCTGTTTCGTAGGAAATACGACATATTTAAATAATTATAGTTTTGCAGAGGATTGGTTACATAAGCGGAGTCTTTTATATTTTTCGAGAAATAGTTTTGCTTCGTTATTCGTGTTGTCTTATGAACAGTCTACACGATTTGTTTTACCAGAGAAAATATTTCCATAACATTGTTCGTCATTTAAGCGAAAAAGGATGATTTCTGAGTTGTGTCAGGGTTCTTTGCATCGTCAACCAATTCGTATTAACTTTTAGAGATCATAGAGATTATAGCATAACCATACAAACGTCACTGCAATAATACATGTGGTAGGTGCTTCTTACATGTAAAGGAATATTTATAAAAGTATTCGACACGTTTTTGGTACATTTTCAGGTGAAAGAATCTACAGTTAAAAAGGAATGTCAGTGTTTTACTCATATGGCAAGAAATATATTTATAAGGGGCTCCGAACAAACAGCAGATGACTTATCGAAATCGGAGATAATTATCGTTTCATATAGTTGAATAATATTATCGTTCATGTGAAAATTCTCCATTATTTTCCGCAATGTTTTGAGCTGCCATCAGTGCGATCAAAATTTGGACTCTCGCGATGTTTCGAGTAAACACCAGGGAAGTGAGCCAGATTATATTCGAATGTTTGGGCAC